TCTTTTGGTTGGGTAGGTAAATAAAGAAGTAGTAGAGTAAGGCGATTATTAGGGTGTAGAATATTAGGTCGTTCATAATGGGTTAGTTTTGACGGTAATTTTTACTTAATAGTCAAGCGGAACCGCAGTAAAGACCCAGCACGATAATCAGCGGTCAGTAATTAAAACTAGGGTTAGTTTCTTGCTTAGCTAACAGTTGTAATTCTAAGTTAGCTACTTGGCTGTGGCTAGTTCCTAACTGCTGGGCTAGTTCTAACTTTTTTTTATTAGTAGCTAGTAGTTTATTTTCTAAGCGTTTTATTTCACTAATTCCTTCATTTATGTTTAATTCTAGTTCAGTTTCCAACTCCTGCTTGGTTTGGTAATAGTCGCCAAAGTCTTTAATTTTTTCTAAACGGAGTTCTAAGATTTGGTCTTCTAACTGCTGAATTTGGACTTTTAATTCACTAATATTTTCTTCCGGAGCTTCGGTAAAGGTTTCTTTATTAGCTAACTCTTCTTCTAATTCAGTTATTTTAGCTTGAGCCAACTGTAAATTCTTTAAATAATTTTGAGCGGTGTTTTGGGTAAAAGTGAGGGTTTGTTTTAATTGGGTGATTTGTTCAGTGGGAGTGGGCTGGTTACTGGGGAGTTCTAATTGGGAGTGGGATTTTTGTAAAGGTATAGTTGGAGAGGTTGCAGTAACAATATCATCCGCACTTTGGCTTCTTTTTAACTTTTTTAAGTGCGAAGGTTTTACTCCTGCTTTTACTTTTTCTTTTAATTCCTTTTGTAAATCTTGTTTAGTCATGATAGTTATCATTATCCGAGTTTACTTCTCAGTCCTGGGCATCTCAAAAGGTTTCTTTTTGTTTACCTTTGCGTTCAATGATATCATCGGGTTTGGGTGGAAGAGACTTAGTTTGTTGACTCTTTCAGTAGAGATAAAGTAATGCTAAGATAGCAATTATTATTAAGTATTTAGTCATAGTTTTAGTCTTTCGGTAATTCTGTTAGTTGGCATAGTCAGCAGATAAAGAAACCGTTATTACTAGTTCCCAAGTAGCTTTCCTGCTGACAAAGGGAGCAGGTTTGGGGCGGGGTCATTAGGGTTTACTGTTTAATTGCTTTTGGAGCTGGTGAACTTGGATTTTTAACTGGTTGATTTGCTGTTGCTCGTGACCGTTTTTCTTTTCCAGTTCGCTAGTTCTTTGGCTTAATTCTACCGATTTATCTTTTAGTTTCAAATTATAGTTAAAAAACATAGCTAACAAAGCTAAGATAACAGCAAAAGCACCAATAGCAATATACAAGGCTAGGTCACAGCAAGTAATCATTAGGCGTTATCAATAATCTTGCCTAAACTAAGACCAATTTGTTTTCAGTGGGCTAAAATCTTTTTTTTCTCGGCTTCTCGCGTTTGCTGTCTAGCCACGGCTAACTTTTTACTGTTATTCTTACAGTGCTGAGTTAGTTGGGTGATTTTTGTTCCCTGAGGTATTCCCTGCTTAGTTTTCTCGGCACAGCAGCAGTAGTAATCGTGGGTGGATTTAGTGGGGGATTTAGGTTTCGTGGGTAAGTGAACTGGTTTCTTTGTGATTTTTTTTGAGACCATGCTGCTGGTATAAGTTGCGTAAGTGAAAGGATTTTGATAAATACTTAGCTAAGTAATTAGAGATAGTTTTTTGACCGGGACTGCGACTTTCGACCCGACCATAAGGTCACAAAGTAGAAATGTAAGCTCGGCAGTTCCAACAACTTTTAAATTCTTTAGTAAGGGTGCATTTATGCGAATAGGGAACGATGGGGGTGCTTAAAAAGTGATAATGCCAAACTCCGTTTTTCTGTAATTCGGCAATGACGCATCATTTTCACTGGGAAGGCTTTCATAAGCGACGCACTCGCCGGAGGAATAATTGTAGATAATGAGTAGCCAGAGTATGCTGTTGCACATCATCCTTAACTTTTTGGATGTGAATCTTAAAAGGTTCTGCTTCATCATCGAATTGTTGAGTTCAGCTTTTAAGTCAAGATTGTTTCTGATTAAGGGTATTTCAACAATCATCCGTTTTATTTCAGTTGGTAGTTCAGGAGAAGTAGTTGTCGTGAGTAGTATTAAAAGTGAGCGTTAAGAATAAAGCTGGTTGTGTAGCGGCTTTACCCTCAAAGTTAGCTTCCACTTTATCTAAAAAGCGAGTGTAGAGTTTCTTTTCTTTACTGGAGAATAAAGAGAAGTATTGACAGTTTTGGGCGTCCTTTACGCAATCATCTTGAGGTTGAGCAAGCTTAGAAATGCTGGACGGAACAGTCTTGTTTTTAGCTTTACCTAAGTAGAATACTCGAGCCGAAGGTTTCGATAAAGTAACACTAATGCGGTCAGTGGATTCAATATGTTTAGTGGAGACTGATAAGGTAGTGAAGGAAGTATGGTCTAAGGTGAGAAAATGTTTTAGGTCAGATTTAGATATTTGCTTTAATTCTGCTAGTCCATTAAGGAGTTTTTGGGGTGATTTAAAACCGGTAGTTGTGTTGACATTAAATTAAATATATAAAACTTATAATATAAACAATTTGATAGAAAATAACAATACTACTCAGCAATTTATCCAAAAGTTAGCTGAACGAGAAAAGGTATCTCCACAAAAAATTGAAGAAATAATTATTAACTCCTTACGCCAATCTTACTGTAAAGGTGAAAATTCCCAAGCCGACTTACATTTTGAATTTACTAATGGTTTAGTAGTTTATCGCTGCTATAAAATAGTGGAAAAGATTACTAATCCCGCTCAGGAAATCGTTGCCAGTGATAATTTACTAGCCCAGGGCAAAAGCGAAAATGGTATTTTTTTCTTGCCGTTAGATATTAAGAATTTTTCTTTTTCCCTTAATCAAGAAATTAAAAAACAGTTAAATCAAAATTTAGGGGAATTTCAGCAAGGAAAACAGTATGAGTTATTTAAAAATCGGCAGGGAGAAATAATTAAGGGCAAAATCCAATCGTTAGCCGATAATAATTATTGTCTGGTCAATTTAGGTCAAGGAGTAGGACAATGAGAAAAAAAAGAGTGAGAGATTTTTGGTCGGCCGCCCTTGGGCAAAAGTTTATATTTTCTCATTCGGGAAGTCCTCCCAGAAAAACCTTCCGCTAATTTGTCTGCTATTACTCTTAGCCTGAGTGATGATTTATTTCTCCGCCGAATATTAGAATTAGAATTAAAAGAAGTTAGAGATGGAACTATTATTATTCGCCATGTTTTACGCTTGCCGGGACTCATAAGCAAAGTAATAGTGGAAAGCAAAAAGAGTTTTGTTGACCCGCGGGGAACCTGTATTGGTCAGGGAGCCGAAAGAATAAAAAGTATTGTCAAACATGTTTGACCCGAACGGGTCGAGATTGTCGCTTGAAGCAACGATAAATTAACTTTACTTCTTAATTTTCTTTTGCCCATCGAGCCGGTTAAATTAATTATTAAGCAAGAACAAGAATGAGAAATTATTGTTCCCCAACAAAAAGCTGCTCTACTCTTGCAATACGGAGGGAAAATACTAAAAAAAATTAGGGAGTGCGAGCATTTAGGAATGAATATTCACGTGCGAATTTTGGAAGAAATAGAGAAAAAAGAAGATTTGGAAGATAAGGGAAAGGTGTTGCGTGAGATTAGTGATTATAAAAATGTCCAGGTGCGAATTTTGGAAGATATTGAAGAACAAAAATATAATAATTCATTAGGAAAGAAAATTTAATTTTGCCGAAATATCAAAATGGAAAAAAATAGCAAAGATGATAAGTCGTTGCAGGAAATTATTCAGCAAAAATTTCCCGCAAAAAAAAACGAATATAAAAACAACTGCTTTTATTATTCTTCGGAAAATATAAGTGTCAATGAATTAAGTAAAATTTTGGGTAAAAAAGCTAGCGAAATCATTGCCTATTTTTGACGAAAAGGCAAAGAAATAAATACTAATCAAGCGTTATCAGAGGAATTATTAGCCGATTATTGCCGCAGTGTCCGCATAAAATTACAAAAGCAAAAAGAAAGAGATTTTTCCCCATTTATTACCGAGTATTTAACTACTGTCAACCATAACGCCCAATTACAAGAACGCCCACCAATTATTAGTATTATGGGACATATTGACCATGGCAAAACCACTCTCTTAGACACTATTCGCCAAACCAACCTACAACGAAAAGAAGCGGGCGGAATAACCCAAAAAATTACTGTTTCTCAAATAGAATTTCACGGCCAAAAACTTACTCTGCTAGATACGCCTGGCCATAATGATTTTATTCGGCTGCGTCAGCGCGGAGTTTCCTTGACTGATATAGTGGTATTAATAATTGACGCTCGCGATGGAATAATGACCCAAACCGAAGAAATTATTAATTATCTGCACCAGTATAAATTGCCCGTTATTGTTTTTATTAATCACAAAAAACCGGCTGAAACCGATAATGAAAGTAATTTAAATAAGATTAGAACTCAATTGCAAGAAAAAGGGTTAACCCCCCTAGAATGAGGAGGAGAAATAATAGTGGTTTCGGGAAATGCCAAAGAAAAAGAAAGCGTTAATCATCTCATGGAAAATGCTCTACTTTTAACTGATTGCCAGGCTAATCATCAAGGTCCTGCTAATGGTGTGGTGGTTGATAGTTATCTTCATCCGCAATTAGGAGCAACGGTCATGGAATTATTAATTCAAGGAGGTCGTTTAAAAGAAAAAGATGATATTTTTTGCCAAGGAAAACTAGGTAAAATAAAAATATTAAAGAATATTCATGACCAAAAAGTAACTGAAATTCTTCCGGGTGATTTAGCCAAAGTTATTGGTTGTGATTTTACCGCTGAATTAGGCGAAAAGTTTGTCGTAATAAATAATGAAAGGGCAAAAAAAGTTTTGGAAAAAGAATTAATAAATTATTCCTCCAACGACAATAAATTAATTCCTCCGGCTACTAGTAGCAAAAAGAAAAATATTAATTTATTTTTAACAGCAGATAGTCAAAACAGTTTGGAATCTCTCACCAATTTAGTGCAAAAAAAATCTCCTACCAATCTCAATTTTTCCCTAATTTATACGGCTATCGGTAATTTACACGATTCAGATTTAGAGTTAGCTCGCGTTACTCAAAGCACCATTTTATCTTTCGGACTACCAACTAATTCTAACCAAGAAAAACTTATTAAAGAAAACAATATTCCTTTTTTTAATAGCCGAATTATTTATGAAATAGAACAAGAATTAGATAATATTATTGCTGGTTGTCAAGAAAAAAGAGAAGTAGAAAAATTACTAGGAACAGCCGAAGTGAAAAAAGTCATTCATTTTTCCAAGAGTAATATTGCTGGTTGTCAAGTAGTTAGTGGGAAAATTAGCCGTAATAAACTTGTTTATGTTCTGCGAGGAAAAGTGAAGGAAAAAATTTTTACGGGAGAAATTAAGAGTTTAGAAAGCAAAAACAAGAGCGAATCAGAGGTAATGAGCGGTCAAGAGTGTGGAATTGTTCTGAAAGGGTTTGATAAATTTCAGGAAGGCGATAAAATTATTTCTTTTCAAATAGTAGTAGAAAATGTTAATGAACAATAAATATTTTTTACATTTAAGAAAGCAAAAAATGTACGAACGAGAAATAAGTTATGTTTTATATCAAATAATACGGCAGGAAAGTATTCCTTCTTGCTCGGTAAGTTATAGTATATTAGGTAAATCAGGAGAAAATTTAAAAATATACCTTAATTTTTCTCAGACGGAAAAGAAACAAGAATTATTAGCACTGATAAATAAAAAATATTCTCCGCTGATAAAAAAAGAGTTAGCTCGCCAGAAAAAATTTGCTTATATACCCCAAATTAGATTTTTTGGCGATGAGGAATTAACTAAAATAAACGAATTGGAAAAAATTATTCACAAAGCATCTTAATAATCATGGACGAGAAAAATCAAATACTTTTATCAATTGTCTTTGCGGCCATATTCCTTTTTTTGGCGATTTTTTTAAATTACATTTCTACCTTATATTCCGATATTGACTTATTCAAAATAGATTTAACTAGGCAGAAGGGGAGAAAAAAGAAAATCAAAAAATTAATTTTTGTTTTAAAAAATAATTATCTTCTTTTTGTCGTAATTTGTTTTTTACAAGTTATTATTAATTTATTTTTTTCGGAAGCGATTATTGGCATTTTTGGTAAATATTTTACAGGCTCTAGCCAACGATGATACTATTTTTCGCTTTTTGGAACAGCTTTCCTGGTCGCACTTTTAACTGAAATATTGGTTCGTTATGTGGCTATTAAGACTAAACACTGGGTACTTAATAATTTTTTTTTGAATATTGCCTATGGGATTAGTCTCACTTTCTACCCCTTTTTAAGAAAAATAATTAAGCCAAAAAAAAAAGTGTTTGCTAACTCGGAACAAGATGTAATACGCTTTATACAAAATCTAACCATGGATAAAGTTTTGGAAGAGAAAGAAGTTAAATTAGTGCAAGCGGCCTTCAATTTTGATGAATTACAAGTAGCAATGGTCTTTACCCCACGCCCAAAAGTTATTACTCTTAATGAAAATATGACTTTGAGCGAAATTCAAAAGATTCACGCTAAATATTTTTTTAATTGCTATCCGGTTCTTAACAAAAAAAAAGAGGTGGTAGGAACCTTTAACTTTAAATTATTTTATTGAAATTTACTCAAAGAAAAAAAATCGAAATGGCAAGACCACGTTGAAAAAAATCCTCTTTTTTTCCCCCCTTGAGAATCATTAGACAAATTATTAGAAAGTCTCCAAAGAACGGGTTTTTCCCTAGCAATTATTCAGCAAGATAAAAAATTTGTGGGAGTTATTTCTCATCAAGATATTTTTGATGCGTTAGTGGGAAAAGTGAAAAACAGGCTATTACTTCCGAGCCGCTTGGATTAATCGCTGGCTCCGCTCATAATCTTGCCGGGAACTAAATTCAAAAAATAAACAGTGATATAGAAACCTCCTTTGAGGGTTTTCCGGAATTTTCTTTTGACAGTAGTTCAAATATTCAACCACTTGGCGATTTTTTTGGGCAAAGTGCTGGGTATCAAAATCTCCTTCCAAATACTTTTTACTTAAAAACTGGGGGCTGTTAGTTAAGTAATCATAATTACCTAAATTAATCAAAGTATTATTGGTTAGGGCTCAACTTTCTTGATAATAGTAATAATGTTGGAAATTAATGACAGTTTTTTCCATACTGTTAATGGTTACTCAAAAGTCTTTGAATTGTTTAATTTGGTCATTAATTAGTTCCCGCATAAATCAGATAAGAATAATTCAGTGGATAAAACCTAATTCGGAATTTATGAATAATCTTATTAAATTTCCGACCCAAGGAACAATATTAATTAACTCATTAAAAGTTTTGGCTAGCCCTTCGGGCGATTCTCCCATCGCTTTTTCGTAAAAATTTCCGAATAAACTACCAAGGAGCGGAAGAAGCAAAATCACTATCAGCGAGTAGGTCAATATTTTCCGGACATATTGGTTTTTTCACGAAAAAAAACTTTCTAGGCGGGGAGTTTTTGCTTTTTTTTTCGTCCAAAAATTTCAAGAATTAAAAGAGGCAAAGAGCAAAGAAATTATAACGGTGAAAGGGCTAACGAAAGAAAATATCAATAAAAAAGCACAAGCGACATGGATTAGACTATTTATTATAAATATCCGCTTATCATGCAGATAAAAATTATTGTTTTCAATATATTTATCCTTTTTCCATAAGTATCTATTAAGCAATAAAGAGATTAAATTTAAAATGATAATTACGGCAATAAAAATCGAGGCTCAATTTAATAACTTTTCTTTTTCCTTAATACTACTACCAACAAAGTATTTATTAAAATCTTTACTTTTCGCTGAAAATAATTCATGAACCTGACCGAAAAGGTCTCATTTTAAACATTTTTTTCCAATAAAAACAAACAAAAAGCCAAAAATAATTCACAGTACAGTGCGAAATATTGTTTGTGAAAGAAAGAACTGTGAATAAGGAGCGAATATTGATTTACTTTTTTTAGGCATATTAATAGTTTTATAATCAGAATGAAAAACATTTTATTACATTGTTAGAGTTTTTTGATAGCAATTCAAACCTTAACTCCTTGATTAACAAGGGTTTAGACCGAAATTGAACTATAAATAATTTCTAACTTTGTTATATTTACCGAGATTAATGGAAGCAACAAGATTAAATGATTTAAACACGAAATTAGCAAGTTAATTGATTTTTTTTCTTAAAAACCTTGCTCTAACAAATTTATTAAATCTTGCCAATTTTTTACTGGCTGATATTTTAGTTTTCCCGCATATCTCTGATTGAATTCTTTTTCTATTTCGGGAGGAATCGGCTTAGTCACTCTAATTATTACTTTATTTTTGCTGCTATCTCAATTTTGGTCGGCTGGTAAAATTAAAGTTTTGTTTCCCGCTTCCACAGTGGCAATTATTTTCTCATGCAAACCACCAATGGCCCCAATATTGCCCTCTTTATCAACTGCTCCCGTAGCGGCAATATCATTCGGAACAGGCTTTTGGTAATAAGCACTATACAAAGCTAATAACAAAGGAACACCATTCGAATTGCCTACACTTTCATTATTCAGTAAGCAGTAAATATCTCATTCCCAAACTAAATCAGGTTTTATCGCAAATAGTTTTTTTACTCCTGTCTTTATCACTTCTTTCAGATAATCATTAACTTCCTCTAACCTATTCTGGCAAAATTTAATAACTAGGTTTTTTTCTATTTCGTCACTATTTTTTAATTTTTGGTCGGACTTTTTCAAAATGACAATAGTCTCGTCTTTTCCCCCAGTCAGTTCCGTCCAAGAAGTGGTTTTTTCCCGCGACGATTTTTCTAATCATTCTAATTCTAAAAGTTTTCATTCTCTTTTTCAAAGTAAGGTTCCCTGTACGAATAAACTATTTACTACTCCCATTCTTTCTTTGGCTGTTAAATCCGGCAAGACTTTTTCCGCTAACCCGAGCAAATTAGTGGCTTGACAAAATTGGCAATTTTTCCTCGGTTGATAACCTTTTCTTTCGGCTTCTTTTCCCCAATTTATATTAGACGGAGGAAGTTGTTTTTCAACTTTTACCTGGTTCGGTTTATCATTGTTCTGCTTACTTATTATCGCTCAACTTAAAACTAAGCCCAGCAATATCCCACCAACCAAACTGACGAAAGAGAAAATTATTGTTTTTTTTTTTTTTTTTTGAGCATTATTCATTAATGTAATTATAGTGTGGTCTGAGCCCAAGCAGAAACCCGGAGACTTTGACCAAAAAAGAAGTAAGGATTGCCAGTAATAAGCATTTTACTATCAAAATTAAATTATACTTAATTATGAAAAAAGAAGAGATAAAACTAATAAAACTGGAAACTGGTCTGTTATGACCTCACTATCAAGGAAAAAAAGCGTGGAGTGCTAATAAATTAACTAAATTTCTGAAAGAAATAGAATATAAAGCCATACCCGAACATGTTTTACAAGCAGCCGCCGAAAGAGGAAAAAATTTTCACAAAATTATTCAGGATTTTTTTCAAGATGGTAATTATCCGCCGTTTGTGGATGAAAAAGAAACAATTTATTTAAATAAACTAGATAGCAAGGTTCATGAAACACTCAATTTTCTCAAAAAAAATAAATCCTTGGAACTGGGTCGCTTTTTGGGTAGTGAGAAACTATATTATATTTTTCATAAAGGAGAATTACTAGCCGCTTATATTGATTTAGAATTTCAAAACCATATTATTGAATTAAAAACTAACAGTATTAAAACTAATGACAGTCCACTTGCTCTGCTTGTTTTTGAAATGCAGTTACTTATCCAGCACTTATGCACCGGAAAAGATGTTTATCTGCTTTGAAGTACCGGTCAAGGAGTAGTTTTTAGTAAATTTGAAGTATCAGAAAGTTCTTTAAAAATACTTGATATTCTACTTGATTTTGCTCGTAATGAAAATAATTCCCTGCCGGATGCCAAAAAACTTACTATGGAAAAAATAATCACTATTTACCCGCAAAAAAAATTAGTAATTAATTAAATTCTTCGTTGTAGAAAACCACGCTAAATAATTCACCACTTTTTTCTAACTTATTTTTTTCACTTTTTATCTTTCTGTAATTACAAATTAAAATTGTCATAAGTATATAATAAAAATTATTTATATAGATAGCGTTCTATAAAAGTTAGAAAAAAGTCTATATAAATGCTATACTAAATAGCCGAAAAATTAAGATTATCATCAATAATCCGCATAAAAACAACGACAATAAAGTAAGTTCACATTCTTACTAAATTTGCCTTTATAATAAAGACAGAACTAGAACTGTAAATCTAGGCTAACGCTATTTTGAAGCTTAATGAATAGCAAAAATAAAACAATTTTTAAAATAAAAATAAAGTAAACAAAATGGCAGACTGAAAATCATTTGAAATAACAAGCAAAGAAACATATTCAAGTTATATTAGATTTCATTTGGATAATTATGTGGAGTATGCAAATAAAAGTGAAAAGTATATTGATTGCGTTAATGATTGACCTTATTATAATTGAAAAGAAGGTTATAATATAAAAATTAATATTTACTAAACAGGTTGTTATAATAGTGGTCATAATTTTGATGACCTTAGCGTAGTAAAAGTTTCTCCGTTAGTTGTTACTTTAGGTAACGTCCGAGCAGATTATTCTAGTTTACAAAATCAGCGTGATACTTTACAAGTAGAAAAATCTAATTTTCAATCAAGAGTTTCTGACTTACAAGTAGCAAATGCTCGTTTAGACGCTAGGAATGATAGCCTATTGTCAGAAAACACTAATTTACAAAGCCTAATAAGAGCCGGAGAAAGAGAATTAGCAACCAAGAACAATCAAATAAATGAAAAAGATAGACAAATAGTCAGTTATAGCACACAGTTAACTACTACTCAAAATCAATTAACAGCAAAAAATAATGAACTAGTTGCCAAACAAAATCAATATGATGAATTAATACGACAATTCACTGCTTTACAAATCACAATTAATAATAAAGATAACGAAATTGAAGAAAAAGTTAATAAAATTAAAGAGTTGAAAGGAGATTTAAACATTTCCCGCGAAGAGTTTTTAAATCAGAAAATAGATTTAAAAGAGGAAAAGTTGGGTGAGTTTATCCAACAGTTTCAACCATTAGGAGTTAATCAAGGACAAACCAGAAATTTACAAGACTTTTACGAACAATTAAAAGTAATTACTACTTCCCCTGATTATAACAGGGACAATGCCAGGGCAGTTGAAAATAATATTAACACAATCGAGCAAGCGTTATTAAACGCCGGAGTTAGTGTGGTAGATACTAGAAAAGTCCTTCGTAAGTGTAAAAAGATTGCTAACTTGAAAATAGAATTAGACCAAGTTTATCAACAACAGCAATACGAGGCACGACAAGAAGTTCCACCACATCAATAAAATAATAAATATTTAAAATTATGTCAAAAAATTATTATCAAATCCTCGGAGTTAGTTCCAATGCTACTCCGGAGGAAATAAAAAAGGCTTTCAAGAAATTAGCCTTAAAATACCACCCTGACAAACAACACGGCAAAAGTGAAGCCGAAAAAAAAGTCGCCGAAGCGAAGTTTAAAGAGATTAAGGAAGTAACAGAATCTTTGCTAAATCAAAAAAGTGGTAGTTTAAATGGAGAAATTGAGGAAATGTTGGAGGAATTAGCCCGAATGAGTGCTACCAACCAAGCCGAAATTATCGCAAGCATCGAGCAAGCTTTTATCCTTTACGGAGTTTCGCCCCAAGATTTAGACCTAATTTATGAAGCGGTTATCGCGATTGACGGGACAAATTGGAAAAGTTGGCTGAAATGCCAGTCGTGGAAGTTCCGACTGAATTTGTGAAATTTCAAGATAAGTTATATAACTTGATTGTCGAAATAGGAAATAAGAAAAGGAGTGAATGAGAAAAAAACAACGAGACTCAACAAAATGAGGAGGAAAATTTTAGAACCGAACGGGAAAGTTTACAGCGAAAGCGGGAACAATGCCAAACAGAAAATAACAATTGGCAAGAAACTGGAGATAATCAGCAAAATTTTCCACCAAACAATAACACTTATAATCCTAGACCTGAAACTTCTTATCTGTCTAATGATGAACCAAAAGGAAAAAAGTCCGAAATTAAGCGTTTAGAAAGTGAAATCGAAAATTATAAAAAGAAAAAGCCCGAAGTTCCTTACCAAGAACAGCCAAATATCCAAAAAATAATTGATAAACTGGAAAAAGAATTACAAGAACTAAAAAGCCCCTTTAATTCTAATAATAACAATTACGACCACTGAACCTGGGAAGAGTTAATTAACGAAATTAAGAAAAAGAAGTTAAATAATCATTCTTTAAAGAAAGTTGTCTCGTCCTTAGAAGCAAAAATGAAAGAGTTAGAGGAAGAAATTAAAAAATTAAAATCCGAAAAACAAACTCCCGAAATTCAGCAAGAAGTTCAAAAAAAAGAAGTTCAATTGCAAGAAATCAAGTCTAGTTTAAAGGAGATAGCAACTGCTAATACTAACCAAAAACCAAAAAGTAATAACTTCCCGACTGGTTGAGTGGTAGGTGGCGGAATAATACTGTTAGTGGGACTAGCCACAATGTTGATTATCAGAAACACCAAAAAGAAAAATTTATCTCGTTAGATTAAAAAGTGGTATATTAACCCAAGGAGAAACGAAATTATTAATTAATAAAAAATATTTTCTTTATAATAATGTCCCACTGGTTTCAATAATTTTTAAAAAAGTAAATTTAGATTATAGGGAAATACAGAATTTTTTTCAAAGCAACCGAGGTAAAATGTAATTATACTAGTCTCTATGGATAATACCCGCATAATTACAGAAAAAATTAACAAAAGAGTCGAAAGAAGAGATACCAATGGTAATTCTTACCTTATCCTTACCTTAAATAATAACGAGACTATTTTTGTTTTCTCTTCCAAAGTAAAAGAGGGAAGATGAAGTTGATTAGAAGAAAATAAAGAATACAATTTCACTGTTGAAGAGGGGAAAAATGGTAGTAATTTGTTGTTGGATTACGAAATAGAAGTTAAATAAATAATTGATTATAAGGGGCAAGCGGTTCAAACTTTTTATTGTTATCAAGTAGGAAAATTTATAATATGAACTATTCCTTTTCTGAGATTGAAAAAAAGTGACAAGCAATTTGGACTAATAATCAAACTTTCTTTGCCGAATTATCAGATAAATCCAAACCCAAAAAATATATTTTGGCGATGTTCCCTTACCCGTCGGGTAGTGGTTTACATGTCGGACATATCCGCAATTATACGATTACTGACGCTCTAGCCCGTTTTTATCGCTTAAAGGGATATAATGTTCTCATGCCAATTGGTTGAGATGCCTTTGGTTTACCGGCCGAACAATACGCTATCCAAACTGGTAATCATCCAGCAACTTTTACTAACACTAATATCCAAAAATTCAAAGAGCAATTATTAAGAATGGGTTTTTCTTATGATTGAAGTAAAGAAATAGATACAAGCCAAGCAAATTATTATCATTGAACCCAATGGATTTTTTGCCAAATCTATCGCCAAGGGCTAGCCGAATATAAAGAAATACCGGTTTACTGGTGTGAAAAACTAGGGACAGTGCTGGCTAATGAGGAAATTAAGAACATTGCTGGTAAAAAAGTTTCGGAGCGGGGAAGTTTTCCCGTAGTAGAAAGGAGAATTCCCCAATGAGTTTTAAAAATTACTGACTATGCTCCCCAATTACTAAAAGATTTAGAAGAGTTAGATTGACCCACGAGTATTAAAAGTTTACAAAAAAATTGGATTGGTTTGTCGCAAGGAACGTTAATCGATTTTTGGTTAATTGATAAGTCTGAGAAAATAACTGTTTTTACCACCCGCCCTGATACTATTTATGGCGTGGCGGCAATTGTTTTATCGATTAACCACCCTTTAATTAAGGAAATTACCTTACCCAAATATAAACAAAAAGTTACGGATTTTTGCTCTTGGTGAAATGGTAAAAAAGAAAATAAAGAAATCGTCGGAGAATTTACCGGTAGTTATTGCCTTAACCCGCTTAATGAGGAAAAAATACCAGTTTGAATAACCAATTTTGTGATTAGTGATTATGGCACCGGAGCGGTAATGATTGCTCCTCTTCTTTCGTGAGAAGACCCTAATTTATGAAGTCGCCCACGCTATCCATTACAAGTTTCTCCGTTATTTACCGAGCAAGAAAGTAAAAAAAATTGGGAAGTGGATTTTGCTTTTGCCAAGAAATACTGTCTGCCAACCAAAGGAGTTATTTTTATCCACTTTGGAATGTATGCTATGTGGATGGATGGTTCTTGCGGACCACCGCCCGGTGTATACACTAATTCGCCCCTAATTGATGGACTAAAAAATAAAGAAAAAGCCATCATTATCATTAATCGAGCGTTAAAAAAAAAACAAGCAGGCAAAAGAAACAAAGTTTATCACTTAAAAGATTGAGTTTTTTCCCGCCAGCGTTATTGAGGCGAACCTATTCCCGTTATTCATTGAGAAAGTGGCAAAAAAGAGATAATTAACGAAAAAGAATTGCCATTAGTTTTACCGCCTTTAACTGATTTCCGACCTTCGTCCCAATATTATTCTCCTTTACAAAAGGCTACCGATTGAGTAAATGTCAGACGACAAGACGGCGTTTTAGGAAAAAGAGACGTTAATGTTATGCCCCAATGAGCCGGTTCTTGTTGGTATTATATTGCTTTCTTATTAAAAGAAAATTCTGCTTATTTACCACTCAACAGCCAAGCAGCCCAAGAAATTATTAAAGACTGGTTGCCAGTGGATATTTATATTGGCGGACAGGAACACGCTAATTTACATTTATTATATGCTCGTTTTTGACATAAGATTTTAAACAAAAGAGGAATAGTTAACTGTTCGGAACCCTTTCAAAAGTTTTTTTGTCAAGGCATGATTTTAGGGAGTGATGGCGAAAAAATGTCGAAATCTCGCGGGAACATTGTTAATCCGGATGAGTTGGTCGAAGAATACGGAGCGGATGCTCTGCGACTTTACGAAATATTTCTTGGCCCGCCCGACCAAACCACCAGTTTCGATATTAATGGTGTTCGAGCCACCCGAAAATGACTAGATAGAGTTTATAATCTCTTTACTTTACACCGTGAAAAATTCACTACCAATAGCGAAAATAGTGAATTAACTACTTATTACCAAGAAACCTTAAAAAAAGTTAGCGATTATTACCAAAATATTAAACTTAACTTGGTAGTTTCCTCCCTCATGACTTTTATTAATGAATGTTATAAAGTCAATTCAATACCAGTTGACTATGCTCTAACCTTTTGTCAATTGTTAAATCCTTTGGCACCTCATATTAGCGAAGAATTATGAAGTTATTTCCAAAAAACACCTATTAGTGAAAGTAAATGACCGCAAGCGGAAAACTTGCCAAATATATCGCTTTTTCAACCAATAAAAATTATAGTTCAGATTAACGGTCAAAGAAAAACAGTAATTTCGTTAAATAAAGAAAAAACCCAATCAGAAATAGAAGAAATTGCCAAAAATGACCCCAAAATAAGCAAAGTATTAGCGGGACGAAAAATTATTAAAACTATTTTTATTAAAAATAAGTTAATTAATTTTGTTTTTCTCACTGGGAAACCACCCGGGCTAGAATAATTCCGCAACTGACCGAAACATTTAAAGAACCAATATTATTACTCATTGGGATATAAAGAGAAATGTCACTGGTTTGAATAATTTTTTGCCTAATTCCTTGGTGTTCATTACCAAAAACTAAACAAGTCGGAAACTTAAATTCTATTTGATTATATTCTTGGGCTCCTGGTTGGCAAACGGCCGAAACAATTTGGTAGCCCGCTTTCTTTAACTCATTAACGGCTGTTAATAAGTTATTAACTTGACAAACGGGAACGTAAGCCACGCCACCTACGGAAACTTTGATTACCGTGCTATTCACTGGCACTTGGTTTTTAGTAGCAATAATCACTCCATCTACTTTTAAAGCAGCACAAGTCCGTAAAATTGCCCCAAAATTGTGTGGGTCCTCAATCGAGTCTAACATAATAATTAAAGGAAACTTACGCTGAGGTTGGCGAGTTAGCAAAGAATTAAGTGAGACATAATCATAACTGTTAATAAACGCTACTATTCCTTGATTTTTTTTGTTAAATCCATAACGAGTAAATTCTCTTTCATTTAATAATTGATAAGGTATTTGTTTTTGTTCTAGCAACTGTAATAATTTTTTATCGTGGTGGTGCTCGGTTCGCAAAAGGACTTTTTTTCAAGTAAAATAATTCGAATAGAGTAAATTGCGAACTGTGTGATTACCAAAGGCGAGGAAATTCATGGTAAAAGTAATAAGTAATTTTATTAATTTAACTTGCTTTTTTTGAGTTATTTCTGTTCGAAATTTCAATTTACAGTAATTTTTGCCATTAAGTTTTAGTGTTTTCTAGTAGACAATAAAATCGACCTGAACCAGTTTTTTCTTGGTTAACTCAAATTCCCTTGACTTCTATAAAATGATAATTAATAAAATTCAAATTAATATATGTCATCTAAATTATTTATCCAAACCCAAGCCAAACCTGATTTACTATTATTAAAAGCAATTACTAGCACTGGTAAAGAAAAAATACACCCGTTAGTCGAAAAAAAAGATTGAAAATTAACTTTAATTTCTGACCGCCAAACCTACTATTTATATGTTGACAAAGAAAGCGATGATTATAATTATTCCCACCTTTATCGTTATTTTGCTGCCTTGGCTAGTGGTAATGAGAAAAGTTGAAATATTGATATTAAATCTTTTATTAGCCCAAATTTACCGGAGGAACTGATAATTCAAGCCAGTAGCGAAGGAATATTGTTCGGCACTCACCACAACTTAAATTACAAAAAGCAAGACAAAAAGCCGGAAAGTCCTCACTACTGTTTAATAACTAAAAACAAAGAAGCACAAACGATTTTGGATAATTCGCTTACTAAACTAGAAGCAGTTAATTGAGCCCGCGACTTACAAGATTCCCCCCCTAACAAATTACACGCCAAGGAGTTTGCGGAACACGTGAAAGACAAATTTAGTAAATTCCAAAATGTTAAAGTGGAAATTTTGGATAAAAAGCAAATTGAGAAAAACAAAATGGGTTTATTATTGGCGGTGAATGCTGGCAGTCACCACGAACCACGAGTAGTCATTTTAAGGTATCAAGGAAATTCTAAAAGTAAAGATATTTTGGGCTTAGTAGGTAAGGGAATTACTTTTGATAGTGGTGGTTATGATTTAAAGCCTTCGTCATACTTACAATGTATGAAATTTGACATGTCGGGAGCCGCTGTAGTTTGTGCTTCCTTTTTAGCGTTAATTAAGCAAAAACCGAAAATAAATGTGGTGGCAGTGGCTTGTTTAACTGAAAACGTGATTGGCGGACACGCTACTCTTACTGAGTCAGTAATAACTTCCATGAGCGGCAAATCAGTAGAGATTAATAATACTGACGCCGAAGGTCGTCTAGTTTTGGCGGATGGGATTACTTATGCCATTAAAAAAGAAAAAGCCACCAAAATAATTACCGTAGCAACCTTGACTGGGGCAGTAGTAGCGGCTTTGGGTGAAAATTTTACCGGTGTGTTAACTAACAACCGAAAATTTTACCGCGAATTGCGGCAAGCCTTTGCTAAATCACAGGAAAGATATTGAGAATTACCAATTTTATTGGAAAATACTGAATCTTTAAAAAAAAATACCACTATTGCCGATATTAGTAATATTAGTAGCAATCGCTACATGGGGGCTTCTAACGGTGCCGCCTTTTTACAAGAATTTGTCGAAAAATTACCATTTATCCACTGCGATATCGCCGGAACAGCTTGAAAATCCAAAGCCAAACGGGGAACGGGGGTAATGATAAAAACTTTAACGGAACTATTCACGATAATATAAAATATAAATAAAGTATGGATTGTCAGCAAAAATCACTCAAAAAAAATTTTAATTCTTTGATAATTAAGGGGAGTTATGGTCTTTTTCTCAGGGGAATTACTTGGCAAACTTAAACTTATCCTTTAACTTTTTAAAGCAACTAACTTAACAAAAATTAATATCAAATTTCTATGTTCTTTTTAATATCTATAATTGCATTTTTTTTACTAGCGTTTATATCGTGAATTCCTGGTGTATGTCAAAATGCCATCGGAATAACTGATATTCTTCCTACTATGTGGAAAAGTTTGGAAGGAATGTTTTCGTTCAAAGATGAAGGTCAGGGCTTTACTATAATTGCTTTTGCTTTTCTCCTTTACGCACTTTTACAAAGTAAAAGTATTCAAGCGTTATTTGCTTCGCAAAGGAAATGATTACAAAAGAGAAAACTCACCACCATTGCAATAATTACTATCGTTTCCTCTTTTTTAGCTTCTACCTTGGGTTGAAACGACGAATTTCTCCACTTTTATCCCCTGGTAGTTCCGCTTTTATTAAGTATGGGGTTCGATATTTTCTCGTCTTTTCTTTGTCTTTATGGCGGAGCTGCCGTTGGAGCCATGAGTGTGATGTCGGTCGGTGCCATGTCCCATCGTTTTGACTATTATGTTCACAAATACTCCGGAAATGTTAGATTTAGTGGCACCAGCGGTATCCTTTTCGGTATTTTCTGCTGACTAATTTTAACTACTATTGTGGTTATGTTTAATATTTGATATTGCCATAAAATTTCCCGCACTCCTTCCCGAAAATTACAAAAAATAGAGCCAAAAAGTCCCGAGAAATCACCAGTTTTTAATTGAAAACGTAAACTTACTTTATTGTTGGTCTTTTTCTTTATTTTAGTTAGTGTTTTTGGGTCGATTAACTGATTTGCGACCAAAACGGAAAATCTTGCCAAACAAATGCCCGAACAAATAACTAATGAAAATTTGAACGAGGAAACTGAGTATAATAAATTAGGAAAAGTAGAAGTAGAAAAAAAAAAGAAAGAAAATGAAACCAAAGAAGAGAAAGGGAAAAGAAAAATGACGATAGCAGAAGTTAAAAAAAAAAAAGAAAGTTTTTGAGGAAAATTTGGTAAGTGAAAAGCCCCGCAAATGGTCTATTGATACACTATCGGTGCCCTAATTATTTGTTTAGTAAATAAATTAGATATTATTAAGACCTTAACCGAGACCGTCCGAAAAGTTGTGCCAATTATTATTATGTATGTCTTTGTTAATACTCTTTTTCTTATACTGCAAAGTATGAAATTGAATTTCAATTTTAATAAAATATTATCAGTTGAATCCCGTAGTGCTCGATTTTACATTCTTCCTTTCTTGTTTATCCTCTTTTTTGTTTTAACCATCGTTTTAGGGTTTGTGGGTTATCTATTTCAATTCGCCACTCCGGCCTTAAAAAGGGTTTCTAAAAATACTCTCCTCTACGGATTTTTATTAGCTCTGATGGCTCGCAATATTGCCACCAATCTCTCCTTTGCTAATAACAGCCTACAAGCCTCCTTAAAGACTAATAATATAACTTGGAAAGAATATCTAAAAAAAACTTGATTATTATGAACAATTTTATTTGTGGTCGGTTTGACTATCGCCATAATTACTCCTTACTATATCGATAGAATTAAATAAATAAAAATATGAATAAAGCTAACGAACAAAAAAAATTAGAAACGGCTCTGAATAATTTGCAAATGGCGGATGGTATTAGTGAAGCCGAAGAAAAATTAAAAGGCCATATTGGATTCGAGAAAGAAAAAAAAACTTTTCTTAATCATATCCGTTTGTATTCCGCTACTAAGGGGAGTTTTTGACCGAAAAAAGAAGTGATTTGTTATGTCGGTGCACCGGGTATGGGTAAGACGACTTTCGTGCAAACTTTGGCGGGTGCCATGAAACGACCTTGTGCGGTAGTGTCTTTATCGGGATTTCAAGAATCGGCCGAGTATTCAATTTTGGGCGAGGAAGACAAACCGAGTTTAGTGGCCTGAGCTATTAAAGAACAAGGCTGTAAAAATCCAGTTATCTTGTTGGATGAGTTAGAGAAAGCCGAAGACCCGAAAATTCAAAAAGAGTTGCTGGAACTTTTCCAAAAATATAAAAAGGGCGAGAAGTTTACTGATAAATATTTTGACCAGGAAATAGAATTAGAACATATTACTTTTTTTGCTACGGTAAATTGAATTGATGACTTAGAATTGACTGTTAAAGACAAAATTAATGTCAATGAATTACCTGACTTTACCCGGGAGGAAAAAAAGAAAATTTTGCGAGCCAAAGCCAATGATATTCAAGAGAAGCATCAGGAATTAGTTATCCCCGACCAAATCATTGAAGCCATACTTAACCATATTCGCGAAGTCGGAGTCCGGCAAGCCGAACGAGCCTTATATAAATTAGAAGAAGAGTATATTTATACCAAAAATAAGGGGGAAAAGTTCACGACCATGGAAAATCCCCGCGAATGACTAAAAAAAAATATTTTCCCTTACCAGGAAGAGTTTCAAGCCACTGGTAAACATTACTTACTTTTCCTTTCCCTGGGAATTAATTTTCTGCTCCTGGCAAGTTGAATTTTTAAAAAATTTATATTAAAAAATAAATATATTACTCCCCAGCGGGTAATAAATAAACCAAAAAAAATAAAATAGTTATGAAAATTGAATACAGCAAGCACGGAATTAAAAGTATTGTTTGTGATAATCTCGGAGAATTTTTTGCCGAATTTAAAAAATGACGGGCAGCGGAGAAAAGTAATATCCGCTCTGAGAAATTTGGTAAGAAAGAACATTTTGACAGTTTTGTAGGTTGAGAAGGCGAAAGTTATGGCGATTTTTGACCGCGTAATGAAAAAGGAGAATTAAGTGTAGGTTGGAGTGAAAGGCATAGTGGGAAAAATAAATTACATTCCATAGCAACAATTCTCGCACCGTTTCACAATACAAATAATTTATTTTACCACAAGCCAAAAAGCATCTATTTAGTTTTGAACCTCTATGGTCTAAAAGCCGAGGAGTGAGGTTCTGACGGTTTTGCGAAAAATGGAAGTAGAGATGGAAAAGTTTCCGCAGTCCTCCGCGAAATTTGAGAAACGGGCGAGAGCAAAAATTATCAAGGTTTAGATTTAAATTGACCGGTGGCTAGTCAACCGAATAATAATGACAATTATGAGAAAAACAAAATTAAAGATTTAACAAGGGAGAACCAAGAACTAAAAAAACAATTAGCCAAAGAAACCAAAAATAAAATGATTTGAATGATAACTTCTTTTACAGCAATCATTTTTCTTGTTATGGCGGCGGGCTTTTGACTGCAAAAAAAAAAAAAAAAAAAACTAATAATAAATAATTATGAATGAAATCGTTGCGGAACAAATTAAAAAAGAATTAAACAAAAAAGAGTTGGTGCAAAAAGAAAAAAAAGATAGTTCTGAATTACGGCGTTTTTCCTGAATTTCCTTTTTTGCTGGGGAAGAATATAACCAAGAATTAGCCAAGAACTCGGCAATCCAAAACCGAATTATCCTTATCGATTGCCAACCAATAAATAATCAAAGTAAGGAATTTATGGAAAACAAAATTAAAGAAATTTATAATAATTCCCACCATCAGCAACTTATCCAAGAAGAAAATTTCCCAATTATTTGATTTAAAAATATTGATAAAATAAAAATTGATTCGCCGTTGGAAAAAGCTTTATTGCCGATATTTGACCCGGCACAAAATAGTTCTTTACCCGGCGGGGTTAATTTAACCCAATTTATTTTAATTGCTACCAGTAGCAATAAAGAGGTGGGAAAATTATCTAATCCGCTTATGTCGCGGTTAGATTGTGTCAATGTCGATAGCGTTCAACCCAAGCAATTTTTTTGAGATAAATATTTTTATTGGATAGCTGTTCCCTCTTTGCTAATTATCATTTTTGTGGTCGGATATTGGTTTTTTAGTAGTAAAAAGGAGGAACCGAGCAAAAATTAATTAAATATGAGTTTTAAATGTAATAAATTTTGAAAAGAAATATCGTCTGGCACTGAGGTTTTTTATGATTTGTTGGGCTATCATGAAGAAGATGTTAAACCCATCGGGGAAGATAAAAATTGAATAGTCTCTGTCAACCTTGCTATCAAGCCAACGAGCCAGAATATTTACAAAACTATCGAATTATTGCTAAAACTCCACTGGAACCAGACGATAATGATTATATAAAATACGATTCTATTGAGTGTTATGCTGGCAAAAAAGACCAAACCGGTCAAATATTAAAGCAAAAAGACTGTCCGCACTGTCAACCGTGGAAATATAATAAAGATACGCCACTACCCATTAAAACTTGCTTGGTTTGCGAAAAAGATATTACTAAAAATCAAGGAATTACTTATAGTAGCAGAGCCAATAATGAAAAAAAGAAAAATTATTGCTCTGTTGAGTGTTTAAGAAAAGGAATGGCTCCTAAAAACGAACCTCAACAAAATAATCCTAATAAAACTCCTAACCATAATCAAAACCGCGGAATGCCAACTGGCTTAAAAAATTTTTTCTGACTAGTCGTAATAGTTCTTGCGTTAACATTAATCTTTATTGGAGGGAAAAGATATAAAGCAAAAAAAAAAAAAAAAAAAAACATCATAAAAATATATGACCACAAACAAAACAAATAATCACAAATATAACCTAATAATTGGGCGTCACGTCCTAGTAAAATCCCCCCATTTCCTACCTGGAGCAGTTCGCGAAGTTGTAAGTTATAATGCTAACGCACTCATGATTTATTTAGGTGCTCCCCAAAATACTTTCCGCCGACCTATCTCGGAATTAAAAATACCCGAGTTTAAAAAAGTTTTGACCGAAAAAAACATAAATATTGATAACGTAATAGTTCACGGTCCTTACGTGATGAACCTAGCCAACACCTTAGATGAAAAGATATTTAATCAATCAGTAGATTTTCTCAAAAAAGAAATTGCTCGCATGGAAGAAATTGGCTTAAAAACGATTGTTATTCACCCCGGCAGTGCTTTAACTGCTCAACCCGAAGAAGGACTAAGCCAATTAGTCAGAGGAATTAATTTAGTTCTCAAAGAAACTTCCAAGGTCCGTATTGCACTAGAAACCATGTGCCGTCGCGGTAATGAGTTAGGAGGAAATTTTGAACAACTCCGACAGATAATAGATAAAGTTGACCAAAAAGAAAGGGTGGGTATTTGCTGAGATACTTGCCATCTTCATGCAGCTGGTTATGATATTAAGAATAATTTAGAAGGAATAATTAAGGAATTTGAACAAAAAGTCGGCTTAGATAAATTATGAATTATTCATGTTAATGACTCGCTGTTTGACTTAGGAGGAAAAATGGACCGCCACGAAAATATTGGTTATGGCAAAATTGGCTTAGAAGCTTTAAAAAGGGTAGTTTGACATCCTAAATTTGACGGGAAAATTAAATTGTTAGAAACGCCCCGCAAGCGTGAAGATTTTCGGAAAGAAATAAAAATGTTACAAGAAGCAAACTAAAAAAGGTTAGGTGGTTAAAATATAAATTATAATAAAATGGTTAAAATTCGTTTAAGTCTAAAAGGAAGGAAAGGTCAACGTTCTTTTTGAATAATCGCTATCGACGAGAGAAAGCCACGTGACAGTGGCGATTATTTAGAGTATTTGGGCTTTTATAATCCTCGCAGTAAAGAAATAAAGTTAGATAAAGATAACATTAACAAATGATTATCTCAGGGAGCCCAGCCAACCGATACAGTCCGCGATTTATTTAAAAAATATCTTTAAAAGCATTTAATATGCTTTATTCCCCCGAAGAAAAAAGAAAAATTATTTTGGCTAATTATAGTTGTCCCAGTCAGCAAGTAGAGTTAGCGGAATTAAAAAAAAAAAGTGTGGAATTATCCACTTCTTTTTCTACTTTTCGTAGTCTAGATGTCGGCTGCGGCGACGTTCTCCATTTATTAATTATTATAAAAGGCAACTACATAGAAAAATGCTGGTTTGCCGGACAACAATCGTGTCTTATTACGGTTGCGGCTGCCAATATCATTTGTGTTTGTTTAGAAAAAAAAACGATTCAATTTGCCTATGAATTAATTAATAATTGTCAAAGCATGATTGAGGGCAAAGAGTATGATTTACATGATTGTCCTGATTTACAAGTTTTTAGTGATATATCTAATTACCCACACCGAGTAGAATGTATAAAATTAGTAATAAGAGGAATTATTAATATAATAAAAATATTCCGGTTATAAATTGTCATTATTTCATTTATAGTAGCGATAAAAGAGCATTTCAATATAATTTTTTGTCGCCTATTAGAGAGTTCATGATTATAAAATTTACTTATATATGCCGATTATTACAAATAATTGATGGGGAACCAAAAAAAAAGAAGTAAAAAAAGCCGTGGCGAAAAAGTTTCAACATACTTCGTCAATGCAGACCACTGACATTGAGAAAATTGTTCTCAATAGTGGAGTCGGGCAAGCCATTAACAATAAACAATTTTTAGAAAATACCGAAAAAGCCCTAATCCAAATCGCCCAAGGTCAAAAACCAATTTTAACTTATTCACACAAATCTATTACCGCTTTTAAATTGCGAGAAGGAATGCCAATTGGTTGTAAGGTAACGCTAAGAAAAAAAAGAGCTTGGAATTTCCTCTTTGATTTAATTAATTTCAATTTACCATTGATTGCTAACTTTCAAGGCTTTTCTCAAAAGAAATTTGACCGGGATGGTAATTATAATTTAGGAGTAGATAACTTAAATATTTTTTCGACCGTTCCTTATGACTTAACTTTTAAAAATCAAGGATTACAAATCACGATTGTTTTTAAATCTCGCTCAACTGAGGAAAACATTTATTTTTTAAACTTATTAGGATTTCCGTTTAAAGAGAAAAATTAAAGGACTATGGAAATAAAAGAATTAATTAGTTCCTTATAATAACTAACGGGGAACAAAAAAGCAAAAAACAAAGGGAGAAACTAGGACATTACACTAATAACTAAAATCTCTTTTTGAATTATTTATTCAGACTTTTTTCCTAAAATAATTTAAGATAGATATGTCGAAGAAAATCCAAGAAAAATATAAAGAAAGACAAATTAAAAATAAAAAATATAAAACCTTAATAAAAAACCATTTCAAAGAAATTACTAATCAATTACAGGAAAAAAACTCTAATAGAGCCGAGTTAAATATTCTAGCAGCGAAAACTCAAAAGGTATTGGATAAAGCCGTGAATAAAAAAATAATTCATAAAAATAAAGCGGCTCGGAAAAAAAGCCAATTACATAAAAGTTTAAATAAACTAAGAGAAGAAAAGAAGATTGAATAATTATAATAAAGTAAATGTCTGTTAAAAGTTTCGTGCGAGTAGTTATCCAAAATGACAAAGGGGAATTATTGGTAATCTTTGAAAAAAAATGAAATTGTTGAGTTTTTCCGGGTGGTAAATTAGAACCGAATGAAACGCCCTTAGAAGCCGCTAAAAGAGAAGTGTTTGAAGAGACTAACTTAATAATTGAAGATTTAGAAATAATTGGCAAACAGGTTTTTGGTAAAAAAAATCAGGGTTGCATGGGTTATCTTATCAAGGCTAATAAATATTCAGGAGAGATAAAAATCAAAGAAGTAGAAAAGATTGCCGATATTAAATTTAAGCAGATAGATTATGATTTTGCCATCAACAGGCTTTTTTATGCTATCATCTTTGAAGTTGATTAGTAAGAGAAAATGAGAAAAAAAATCTTTAAAGACCGAGTAAATGAATTCCTTACTCCGAACAAAATAAGGAATATTTTTTTAGTTTAGGAGCGATTAAAGTTCAGAACCAAAATGGTATCGTAGTGTAAAACTATAATGTAATAAGATTACAAAATAATTTTAAATTATACAAACGTGAATAAAAATTATATGAGAAATTATGATAAACCACAAAAAACTGCTCTATATCTGCGAGCATCCCATCCAGCGACAAAATAGGTCGCAAATAGTTAGAAAATCAAAAAAGCAAGGTAAATTACTTGCTAAAAATAAACTTAAAACAGTTGGCTAATTCTGTCAAAATTAGCAAAAATAACAATATTTTATAAAATAAAAAACAAAACAAATATGTAAAAATATGGTAAAAAACAACAATTTAACACCCATCGAGGCAAATAAAAAACCGTTCGAAACCGTTCAAGAGTTAAAAAACAAAAATGAAACCCCCTCCTTGGAGGAGTTTATGGAAAGTTATGAGAGTGATGATAAAGTAAGCGATAGTTATAATGACGAAGTTGCTAGTTATAGTGATATTGGAGTAAATAAAAGTTATGGGCCTACTACTTATGGGCGTGTTCACACATCACGAACTTCAGCGTGGTTTTCCTTAGAAATTGGATGTTATAATTGTGCGGGAAATGGTTATTGCAAAGAGATGATTATTCCCTGAGAAGCCGCAGATATTGGCACAAAAATTCAAAAGGATAATTACCGAGAATTACTCAATGTAGATTGCACAATTGCTTATCGAATAAGGAGTAAATGTGCGGAACTAATTAAAGATGCTATTCAAAAGCATGAACGTGGACAAAAGGTTGAAGGTTATGTTAAGAGTAGAAGGTAATTTTTGGGCAAGTCCTAGTTGAAGTTATAATTATTAAATTAAAAAGTTGAAAGAGAAGTATCGTAAATGGATTTTAAGGGCATTTTTTTTCGTAGCCCTTTTTTTCGTTGCATTTTTGGTAAAAGTTTATTTAAGAAGAGGTTATTTATTTTTGACTCCCAAAGAAAAAAAAGAAAGGGAAGAATTACAAAATGAATTTAAAAGTTTCCAAGCAAGGGAGGAACATAGAGAGCACCTAAAAAGAGGAATAGATTATGATTCGAAGTGTAGTATATGTAGTAATACTTAAATATAATATCAACAAAATTAGCCAAAATTAGGACAAGGGAGCCTCCTCCCCTAATTGAGGTTAAACACTGAAATTATTAGCCTTTTTAGGAAAGTTCGTCGAAACGGCTTCACTTTTCCCGAAAAATTTTTCTTGCTTTTTTATCTTTACACAGAAAGGTAGTCAAGACGGCTAATGTCGTTTTATTACCCTTTGAAAATAGGAATATTAAAAGTTTTAATTCTTTTTTCAATCATTTCTCAGTTTTTTATTGCCATTAATTATTTTTCAAGGTTCAGCGGTAAAATAACTAACCAATTAATCGGTTCTTTTTTTAATTTAGTTAACAAACTATTAATTTTCGAAAAAGGTCGGGAACCAAAAAATCCATACTCAGCACTATAAGGGGAAGGGTGAGTACTAATTAAACTATAATCGTTACTAATTTGACATTCTTCTTTGATTTTTTCCGCTTTTTTGCCTCAAAACACCCAAATTAACTTATCATTATAGTTTTTTAAGTAAATTAGTAAGGAATAAATAAATTCTTGTCATAAACTCATATGAGAAAGAGCCTTGCCATCGTAGACAGTCAGGGCAGTATTAAGCAAAAAAACTCCTTCTTTAACTCAGGGCAGTAAATCACCTTTGAGCGGGAGAGGACAATTACAATCCTTACTAAACTCTAAAAAGATATTTTTTAAACTGGGAGGGATATAACTAAGTCTTTGGGTGCTAAAAGCAATTCCGTCGGCTGTTTCGGGTGAATGATAAGGGTCTTGGCCTAATATTATTACTTTAATTTTTTCCAAGGAAATTTCTCGAAAAAGGCGGAAAATATTTTCTTTTTTGGGTCAGCATTTATAATTTTTGTATTCTTCATCCAATTTAACTAATAGAGGTAAAAAATAATTTTTTTGAACTTCTTGTTGAAAAAAAGTTCCTCAACTAGGGTCAATTTTATCTAAATAGAATTCTTGTCATAATAAATTATTCATTGTCTAAATTTTAACTCTTTTCAACATTCGTTAATTTTCTAGGAAAGTTTACTTTCCAAAAGCAACTTTTTTTTAATTCAGAAATATTCTCGGCTCAATGAACCGTCATTTTTTCTTTTATTTCGGGCGGAATTACGGTTCTATTACTCTACTCAAATAAAAAACAAATAATATTGCCACAACAACTATTCCAATAATCACACTGACTATTAAAGAGAGATAAATCTTTTTTTTTAATCCTATATGATTATGTTTAATATAATATTTTTAATTCCTTTTTAATTATTTTAATTTTTCTTTCGGCCAAATCTTTTAAGTAAATATTATTTTCTTCTACTATTCCTTTAATGTGGGGAAGGTAAGATTTATATCTTTCTTGAATTATTCCTAAATTTTTATTAAGTAAATCAATTAATTGTAGTTTAAATTGGTGGTAGTTAATATTTTGTAATTCTTTTTCCGCGGCTTTTATTTCTTGCTTAGTTAATAAAGCATAGATAATTAAAAGATTAGAAATGCCGGGCTTTTTTTCCCGGTCATAGTAAATTTTATTTTCGGAATCAGTAATAGCGGTTTCAATCTTTTTTTTTATTGTTTCGGGCTTATCTAATAAAAAAATACAGTCCTGCTCGCTTTTTGACATCTTTTTCTCGGGGTTTTGTAAACCCATTATTTTTGCCCCCAAGTTAGGAATAAAAAATTCTGGGATTTTTAATAATTCTTTCTCATAAAAATTGTTGAACTTTTGGGCGATGTCGCTAGTTAATTCTAGGTGTTGTTTTTGGTCTTGTCCGACAATAACCAAATCGGCGTCATAAAGAAAAATATCGGCCGCCATTAATACTGGATAGGATAACAAAGCTAAATTACCAGTTTCTTGCTCTTTTTTTTTTTCTTTATATTGAATCATGTTGTTTAATTCACTTATAGTAACCAAAGGAGCTAAAAATCAGGCTAATTCCAAGTGTTCTTTGACCTGCGATTGAATAAATATTTTACATTTTTCCTCTTTTAATCCACAAGCGTATAGTAAAGAAGCAATTTCATAGCAACTTTCGCGATAATTAAAATTAGGTTTAGGAACTGTTAATGAGTGTAAATCAGCAATCATTATAATAATTTCATGAGTACCTTTTTTCTGAAGTTCTAAAATAGGATGAATTAACCCGCAGTAATTTCCTAATGTTGGTTTACCCGTAGTTTGAATTCCGGTAAAAATGTATAATTTAGACATATTTACTATTTTTGCCAATTATTACTCTAAATTCAGTGAAAATTTGTGGAAAAAAAAGAAAAATTTTTTTCTATAATTTTACCAGTTTATATATCTATAATTATTAAAACTTTCATTATAGCACGTTGCTTAAATTAAATACAAATTAATTTTTAAAAGAAAAAATATTATGAATAAAAAAATCAGTAATCATATTAATAACAATAACCATAGAGAGAGAGTTTTCGATAATGTTGGCCGGGAGTATTTTGCTAATTTTCCTTTTGACTGTTTGGTTGATAATCTTTAACAAGCAAAGAAAAAAGCATTTAAAATATAGAAAAAATAAATGGAACTGTCGCCAAGTAGCTAAGGCCGCAGTCTGCAAAACTGCTATTCGTCGGTGCAAATCCGACCAGTTCCTCCAAAATTCCTATGGATAGTGAGAATAAATTAATACCAAGCAGCAAGAGCAAAATTTTACTTATTAGCCTGGGCTTGTTTCATGCTTTATGTATCGGCATGGGTTCTCATTTAGACTTATTTCGTCGCTCAGAATATTCTTTTGCCCGAGCCAGTAATATTAATTATTGACTGTGAATTTCTACTTGATGATGCGTCTGAGTGGGCTGATTAACCATAATTTGAGTTATTTATAAATTAGTAAAGCGAGGAAAAACTAATTACTTTGAGCAAATTTTTGATTTGACTGTCTTAATGGCTAATCTAATAATGTTGTTGGCTTTTGTGGCTAATTGAGCGTTTTATTACTTATCGGACAAAAAAATAGCCTGAATTTATGTGCCGGACACTGATAATCCTGCTCGTACCATTAATCTCTTTAATTGCTGAGAAATAAGAATGCAAAATTATTACTAATTTAATACGGCTATTTCCCATGTCCTTGCCCCACTACTATTATTTTTTCACTTTCGCAGTTTTAGTAAAGTAAATTTATTAAGAAAAAAAATCCCGTCAACCTTAATCGGAGTTTTAGCAAACCCTACTATTTGATTTATTTTTGTTGTTCTACGCGAGAAAGCAAGTAATTATTGAATTCACCCCGGCAAAATTTCCTATGATTTTCCCCGGAATTACCCTTATGTTTTCTTTTATCGCATTATGGGTCAGCCCGCTTATGAAGGAGATATTAACTATTCTTCTAGTTTAATTTCCCGCTTTCTGTGAATAATTAGCGTAATCTTCGGCACCTACTTAATTTTTTTTCTCTTGGCCTGACTTTTAATCAAATGGAAAGAAAAATATAATCAGAGAAACATTAATTAATATCGCTATTTGCCTAAGCAAAACTTACTAAAAATAATATCTAGTAAATCCTCATTGTATTCTTTACCGCTTAACTCTTTTACTAACTTATAACCGACTTCTAAATCGCCACACAAAGCATCTAAATAAGTTTCTTTTTTTAATTCACTAATTATTGTTGCTAATTGCTGAATAATTCGGGTTAATTTGGCTTGCTGTCAACTTTGACTTAAATAAGGATAAGAAGACAGGTTTTTCATTAAATCACTAGCAAATAAATCATTAATTTTAGTTTCTAATTCACTCAACTGCTTATTTTTGGCACTAATTCGCAGAACTTTTTCCGAAGAAATATAGTCAGGTAATTGTAATTCACTCGGTTTATCGGTTTTATTGATAATAAATAAGTAATTTTTTGGCTTAATTTTTTGTCAGATATTTTCATCTTCTTTACTTCATGGCTGGGAATTATCCACTAAAAAAAAAATAATTTCGGCTTGGGCTAAGGCTTGATAACTTCTGGTTACTCCGATTTTTTCCACTGTGTCTTGGGTCTCATGAATACCGGCCGTATCTAATAAAGTTAATGGAATACCGTTTAAATTATAAGAGGCTTCAACTATGTCGCGAGTAGTGCCGGCAATCGGCGAAACAATGGCTTTTTCTTCTTGTAGTAGGGTGTTTAAAAGAGTAGATTTTCCCACGTTCGGTTTGCCAACTATGGCTACCTTTAATCCTTCTTGATAAACACGGGCTTTTTTACCACTCTCTTTAATCATTTTCATTTTCATTACTAGTTTATTCAAGCGTGAAAGAACTTGCTTGCCAGTTAAATATTCTACTCCGTCATATTCCGGGTAATCAATATTGACTTTAATGTTAGCAATAATTTCCAATAACTCATTTTCAATATTTTCTAATTCCTTTTGGGTTTCTGAACTTAGGTTGTGAAGAGCCAATTTTGTTCCCTCTAACGAAGGAGTGCGGATTAAATCATTTATCGTGCTGGCTTGAATTAAATTTAGTTTACCATTAAAAAAAGCTTGCTTAGTAAACTCACCTTTGTGAGCTAATTCAGCACCTTTTTCCAGGATTAATTGTAATATTTGATTAACAATAAATAAATTGCCATGACAACTTATTTCGACCACATCCTCGCCGGTAAAGGAAGAGGGTTGGTAAAAACAAAGAAATAATACTTCGTCAATTATCTCTTTTTGTGAATTGATGACCTTGCCAAAAATTAATTGGGGGGTTTTTTGAGGATATTCTGGTAAAGCACGGTCGCAAATTTGAGTAATGATTTGGTAAGTTTGCGGACCAGAAATCCGAATTAGAGCAATATTTTGCGTAATTGGAGCAGTGACTAAGGCAGTAATGGTTTTTGGACCAAGCATAAATAATTAGTTTTTATTTTGGCACACTAAACAGTTGTGAATTCATTCTATTATTTTTTCTTTCTAATTTTGCTTCGACCCTTTCGCATAATTTCTTTTTTTCTTTAAAATGGTTGTAATTATAACTAGCAAAGAAAAAATAACTATTCCTCCTACTGAAAATAGCAAATTCCGTCTCTCTCTCTCTCTCTCTCTCTCTCTACCTTGGTTTGAACTTCTTGGTGGTAATCTTTCTTGAAAGAATTCCTGGGTTAACTTCATTAGTTCGGGATAATTTCGAACTTTTTCTAGTTGGTGTTCCCAATCGGGGTTAAATATTTTTAACTGTTGGCAGACTTTTCTTACCTCGGTTTTGGCGGCTTCGGTCATTTTTTTTAAGTGTTTTGTTAATTCTTGCTCGTGCTGTTGGAGGGAAATATTCTCTTCTTTTTTGGCAATTTCGGCTAATAATTGGCTCTTTTCGGTCTGCCATAACTGCTCTTGTTGGTCTTTTTCCTCGGTCAGTGTTTTCATTTGCTCTGCTTGTTTTTTTAATTTTTGTTCCAACTCATTAATCTGGCCTTGTAAATCAGTAATAGTTTTTTGCTGTTGGTGGTTATCACTAATTTGGGTAGAAATTACTTGGTCTTTTTGGGCTAATTCATCGTTTTTATTATTGAGGTCTAACTGGAAATTTTTCGCCCTTTTCTTTTCCTCTCGCTCGCTTTGGCATTTTTTCAGAAAATCAGTATTAACTTTTTTGGTTTTGGTTTTGCTGATAGTTAAACAGTTTTTTCATTTGCTCTTTTGATTTTTTAAAGACTTGTTAATGGATTGGATTTTATTGACTTCCCTCGTTAATTCTGTTTTATCTTCTTCTAATTCTTTTTTAGACTGTTCTAATTGCCGATAGTTAGCCCGAGTTGGACGAATCTGAATTTGGTCGGATAACCTTCTATTTTTCTCTTTAAGAAAATTAATGAAAGTAGTTAAATCAATATCTTCTTCCCGAGTAGTTCTTGCTAGTTCGGCAAACTCTTGGGGGCTTTGTCCTCGGTGAAAACTTATTTGAGCCTTCATAAGTTCGTCCGGAACTTTTTCTAAATTTTCGACCTTTTCTTCTAAGTCTTTGAGGGTTTTGGGAGTTTCGAGGTCTTCTCAATAGGCTTCTCCCTTTAATATTATTCTTTCTAATACATTAAAAATGTTTTGTTGCAAGGCTTTCATGTCTTCGTCCATTTCTATTTTATTAAATACCTTTCTAACTTCTTCTTTGTGGTCTGACAAAGTTGATTTCCTCATTCACTCGTCATACTGTCAATAATAGTCATTATTGAATTATTATGGTTTCTAATGAGTGAAAAATATTAGAAATCTTTGCTTTTTCTGTTCTGCTTAACATAATGAATAATTTTACTACTATTTTCATTACTTACTTTTTATTTTTACCTACCAAATAATCCCTAATCCACTCTACTATTTTCTCTTTCTTTACGAAAAAACTTTGCTTTTTTTGCCAATCTTTTATCAGTAATTCTTGGCTATTTAGTTCTTTTTCTCCCGCTATTACTAATATTTTCGGTTGATAGTAGTCAATAATTTTGGGAAGAGATTTTATTTTTCTAACTTCTAAATTATATTCTATTATTAACGGATATTTTTCTAATTCTTTTTTTCAAGTTAAGATATCGCCATAAACTTCGGGGATAGTAGCCAAAAAAAAAATGTCAACTTGCTTAGCAATTTTTAATAATTGGGAACTTGCTAAATAATCTAATAATCGCTCAATTCCGACCGCAAAACCAACTGCCGGAACTTTTATATTTCCTACTTCTTGGTAAAGTTTATCATAACGACCCCCACCTAATAAAGACTTTTCTCCGGCGAAACTAACTTCAAAAACCAAGCCGGTATAATAATCTAAGCCGCGAACTAAACCATAATTATATTGGTAAGGTAAGGAAAATTTATCTAAAAATTTATTCAATTCCTCGACATAATCTTTATCTTCGTTAGTTAGAACATGATAGTAAGAAGGAAAGGAAAAGTTTTTTTGACAGTGCGAACAATCCAAAATTCGTAAAGGGTTGGCGGCATATCGCCGCTGGCAATCTCAGCATAACTCGCTAATAATTTTTTCGGCAAACTCTTTGATTTTTTTTTTATATTTTTCCTTGGCGTTATGGTCTCCCAAATAATTTAAATTAAAAGAGAAATTTTGAATTCCGCAACTATTTAAAATATCCGCAACTAGTTTTAAAATTTGATAATCAGCCATAATTCCTGGCCCGTTAATTAATTCCACTCCTAATTGTCAAAACTCGCGATATCTCCCTTTTTGGGGTCGTTCATAACGAAACATGTTAGCCCAGTAGTAAAACTTTAAGGGATAACCTTCTTTAACTAGTTTATTCTCGCAAACTAAGCGAACCGTGCTGGCAGTTCCCTCGGGTCGCAAGGCTAATTCTCGTCCTTTTCGGTCAGGGAAAGCATACATTTCTTTATGAATAATATCGGTAGTGGAACCCAAAGAAGTAGTAAATAATTCTTGATATTCAAAAGTAGGAAAAATTATTGGTTGATAATTATTTTTTTGTAATATTTTGGTAATGATTTGGTGAATTTTTTGATATAAAAGAGAACGAGGGGGATAAATATCTTGGGTGCCGCGGGGCTTATTGGGAAGGGTCATTTAATAACTTTTTTAGTCAACTAATTAAATAATTTCTTTTCGATAGAGATTTATATACCTTTGACACCTGTCATATATATTTATATTTTATAGTAGACCCACCCCCCTCTCCCCCTCCCTCCGTCTAATTAACCATCCAAAAAAATTATTTTACTAAAATATAAGATATTATGACATGAGGATATATTTATTGCTCACACTGTAGAGAGAAAAAACGTTCAAATGATAACCTTTGGACTGTTGATGGAGACACCATAAAAGTATGCTGTGAACGACCTGAATGTTTAAAAAAGGAGCAAATTCAAAAAAATAAAGACCAGTCGAATTCAGAAAAGATTACCGAAAGGCAAAGAATTTTGAACAGCGAAGAAATTCTTTGAGCAGAAGAAATAGCCGGTAAAAGTTGTTGGGGTCGTTATAACGATAATATTTCTATCAAAGGGACTTGTAAAAAATGCAAAACTAGTGATGAGGTGATTTTTGAACCTGGTCTAAAAGACCCAACAGAACCTTATAACAATAATTATTGCCTAGATTGCTATATAAACTATGACATATTAGAGGGTCACAAAAGAAAACCAATTTTAGTTAAGATTTACGGTTTTAAAGGCTATGAAGAGTTCGCTAGCCAAAAAATAAAAAATCAAGAAAAAAGAAGCAAGGAAATAGAACTCCTAAACAAAGAATTAATAGAAATAAAAAATCAAAACGAATCTTTACAATTACAATTGGAAGAAGAAAAAAAATCTAGAATTAGAAGCGAGAAAATATTAAATAGTGAAAAAGTTCAAAAAGCAGAAGAAAAAATTGGAAAGGAGTGCTGAGGACGTTATAATTCTGTTATCCCTATTTTAGGATTATGCTGGAGATGTAGAAAAAGCGACACAGTAATTTTCGAACCAACCCTTAAGGCACTAACGTTCAAATGTAAAGATGAACAAGAAAATTATATTTGCGGCGAATGCTACTTGAAGCACGACTTATCAGGATTTGAAAGAAGAAGAGAACTAGAACAAAAAGAAAGAGAAAGTCAGGTAAAGAAAGTTAAAAAACTCGAACCGTTAATAGTAAATGAAAAAAAGTTCGAAAATAATAATTCGCAATTTGAAGAAAATAAAGAAATAGAGAGACCAAAAAAAGAATTGATTAAAAATCAAGAACAAAATTTTTACCATGATAAATCTTTATTAGTTCAATTAGAAGAAGAAAGAGAAAAGAATAAAATTTTAACTGAAAAAGTAACGAAGTTAGAAAAAGAGTTATTAAGTTTAAACAAATATAAAAATTACCAAACCTTATTCAACAATTCTTATATTCACCTAAATGAATGAGGAAAACTAAAACTAACTGAATTATTACAAACAATTGAAAAAATAATTCGGGAGGGCAAAGAAAAAGATTATTATGCCCAAGAGTTAATCAAAGATAGAAAAGAAATTTTAAAAGAAAAAGAAGTAGTTCTTGACCTTGAAGAAATTTGCCGATTGAAGGAAGAATTAGTTAAATTAGAAATACAACAAAATCAACAATTTGAAGCATTAGTAGAATTGCTTCCCAATTTTTAAAGTTATAATCATGTCAATAGGTATTTGTGAAAGTTGCGGAAGCAACTGCGGTCAACACAGCGGTGGAAAAAGCGGAGCAAAAATTAATAGTTGTGCTGATTGCCAATCAATTTATCTTTCTTGTCTTTCTAAATCCAAAAATGAATGACCTAGTAATTTTAACAATCCAACTTACCACGAATACCTTTGTGTAAATTGTATAAATGAAGTTGGAGGACATGCTCGTAAACAAAGAGAAGAAAAAGAAAAAATTAAAGAGAAAAACCGAGAAAAAGAACGAAAAAACAGTATTATCAGCCAAATTAACAATAAATTAAAACCCGGTAATTTAGTTGTTTGTGAAGAATGTCTAACGTGAAAAGACGATGCTCCTAATTACTTCGCAAAAGGAATAGGCAAAAATTGCGATAATTGCCAATTGATTGCAGCACAGAAATCTTTAAGTCAAACCCGGATGCAACAGGACCAAACACTAAAAAAACTATGAGATATATTGATAGACGATTTAACTGAGGGTAAAGAAATTGATTGAGAACAATGTAATCAAACTTTTAATGCTGAACAAGTAAAAATACTCAAAGAATACCAAGCCAAAGTTCAAGTCCAAAAAAATAACAATCCAATTTCACCAGAGATTAAAGCCGAGATAAATCAAGTAATAATTGATAATTCCTCTCCTGCTAATAACCAACCACCAAGCAATAATAATTCTCCTTCTCCTAATCAACCAAATTCACCAACTGCCCCTTTACCAGTTAGCCAACCAATAACTAATAATTCTAACTCTTCTTATAATTGTTCGTTCTGTAAAAAGAGTTTTTCCCAAGATGCTTATCACTTCCCAAATGACCCGAACAAAATATTTTGCTCCGATTGTAAACCGCAAGTAGAATTATTCGCCCAATCTCTCGCCCGAATAAGCCAAGGTCAAGCAGTTAATGTTGATAGTTTAAACTTACGCGAGGACGGCAAAACCACCTTAAAAGCGGCTCAAAAAATCTACCGAGGCGAACCAGTTGATATTAACAGTTTAAATATTGACGAGGAAGATAAACAAGGACTACGAGAATTCCAACGAGAAATAGCGAGCAAAAAACCTATCCCTATCGATAAAAGAACAATCGAACCAAAAAATAAAAAAGTCTTTTTTGAAACTCCTCCCGGAATAGCAATAATAGTAGCCGGAGCAATATTTTCAATCATTATCGTAATTTATAAAATAAGAAAGTGGAGAAGTAAAAAGAATTATTATAACTAAATATCTCTAATCATTTCATTAAACATATCTCTTATCGTGTTCATATCACTGCCTCCACCATTTAAATAGTCACGGATTCGAGTTAAATGAGTGTTAATCTTACTTTGAAGACTACTACTTGAACTACTTACTTGAGCACTAATTTCTGACAACGCCTTTATTTGATTTTGTAAACTACTTAGTCCATTATTGAAATTTATGTTGCTGTTATTCATATTTTCAATAGTAGTATTAATGCTATTTCGCAAATTAATAATATCTTGTTCGGCTTGTTTAATTTCGGCTTTTACTCCGGCTACATCTCCACGCAATTGAGATATTTCTTGGAAATTAGCTGCCATTTCCCCTCGGATTTCTCCCAAACGTTTATCAAGTGTGTCCTTAAAAGTCCTTAAATTATCACATAAATTAATAATAAGACTTTTTTGTAATTCCTCAGAACGGTATTGGTGTCCATAGTCATAACGTTGAATTTTTTTAGCATCATTAAAATTATGTATTTTTCTTTTACTATTATACTGGTGAAAAGTAAAGAGATAATGTAATAACCAATTACAAACTTCTTTATCTTGTTCGTTTTTGCGAGTTCCTAATTCTTGTTCTTTGGCTTTTCGTTGTTTTTTGTTTAAATTTTTTCAAGAATTAACTATGATTGGTAAATTAGGTGCTAATTCTTGTTTAGCTATGTTAAAACCGATTTTCACACACTTTATATAATTCTTCGGGTTCCGGATTAGTATCTCATTGTCAACCTTCACCTTGGGGTAAATCTACTTTAAATTGAATAGTTAGTATTTTATTATTAGTTTATTTAGTAAAAATCATTACCAAAAATAGTCGAAAAAAGAGTAAAAAAGGAAGTTTTCTGCTTCACTAGGTCTTTTTCTCGGTCTTGGAAGTGTTTTCTTTACTTGGTAATTTAGCACTTTTTATCTAAATAGTAATTTAGCATTTGAATATCAGTCGGATTTACCCCCGCTATCCGCTTGGCTTGTCCTAAGGTAAGTGGTTTTATTTTGGTTAATTTTTCTTGAGCTTCTTGAGCCAAATTATCGACTTGAAAATAATCAATATCCTTCGGTATTTTTTTTTGTTCGTATTTATTTAATTCTCTGGCTTCTTTTAATTGGCGTTTAATATAGCCTTCATACTTAACATTAACTTCTATTTCTCGTTGTTCTTCTCATTCTGATTGATTTAGTTCGGCTATTCAAGGTCGAAAATCACTTAAAGAAAGTTTGCTACTTTTTAATAAGTCATGACCTTTTATTAGATTGGTTTTTTTTCACTGACCGGCAGCTACTAATTTGGGTAAATTTTGGATTAGGTCGTCATCAATTTTAAACGCTATTTTTTGCAGTTTTTGGTTAATTATTGCTTGGTTTTTTTGTTTTTTTTGAAACAATTCTCAATCCTTATCATTTAACAGACCCAGTTGGTGAGTGATAGGTCACAGACGAGTATAGACGTTATCATGTCTTAATAGTAAGCGATATTCTGCCCGGGAAGTTAAAAGCCGATAAGGGTCAGTAATTTCCTTGGTTACCAAGTCTTCTATTAACACTCCAATATAGGCTTGGTTTCTTTTCAGCACGAGCGGTTCTTGATTCTTTAATTTTTGACTAGCGTTTATTCCGGCCATTAGTCCTTGGGCGGCCGCTTCTTCGTAGCCGGTAGTGCCATTAATTTGTCCCGCAGTAAAGAGGCCGACAATTAATTTAGTTTCTAGGCTAATTTTTAACTGAGTTGAATCTATGACATCATATTCAATAGCATAACCCCATTTTTTCACTTGGGCTGTTTCTAGTCCTGGTAAAGTTTTTAAGATTTCGGCTTGAATTTCCTTGGGTAAAGAAGTTGATAGTCCTTGAATGTAAGTAGTATCTAACTCTTGTGATTCGGGTTCCAAAAATATCTGATGTTTTTCTTTGTCGGCGAAACGGAAAATTTTATCTTCAATACTCGGACAATAACGCGGTCCAGTGCCGATATCTTGCTTGTAAAACATAGGAGACAAATGAAAATTTTTCCGAATAATTTGGTGAGTTTTTTCATTAGTATGGAGCAGATAACAAGGCAATTGCTTTTCATAAGGCAATAAATCTGCTTGCTTGCTTCGGGCGGAAAATTTCAAAGGTAAATTAGTGCCTGGTTCTATTTTCAAATTAGAAAAATTAATAGTGTTGGTTAAAATACGCGGGCTAGTTCCGGTTTTGAAGCGTTTTAGTTTAAAGCCTAATTCTTGTAATCGTTGGGAAATATTATTAACTACTTTTTTTTCACCATCCGGTCCTTCAATTTGGTTGATTTTTCCCTGATAAGTAATTGGCTGTAAATAAGTGCCAGTAGTTAAAATTACTAATGGGGAGTCAATAATTTCTCCGCTGTTTAATTTCACCCCTGCTATTTTTCCTTCCCTAATCAGCAAGTCTTCCACTGTCCCTTCGATAATAGTTAAATTTTCTTGCTCGCTTACTACTTTTTGCATGTAACGAGCATAAGCAACTTTGTCCGATTGTACTCGTAAAGCCTGAATAGCTGGTCCGCCTGAAGTATTTAATAATTTAAACTGTAAGGCAGTAGCATCGGCAGCTTTTCCCATTTCTCCACCCAGTGCATCAATCTCCCGCACTACTATTCCTTTGGCAGCCCCGCCCACGGAAGGATTACAAGGCATTAAACCAATTTTGTTTTTATTGAGAGTAATTAAAGCGACTTTATGACCTAACCGCGAACTAATTAAGGCAGCTTCAATGCCGGCATGACCGCCACCTATTACTATAATATTAAACTTTTTAAGACTTTTTTCGTTCATTATAAATGAGTTTTAAACTATAAGAAAAAAGCAATAACCAAAAAATTTCAGCAAATAAAGACCAAAGCAAGAAAAGAATTTTATTAAAATAGTTCCTTTTCAAAAATTAATTCTGATTTTCTTGCCCTTTATTCCCTGGACTAATTTCCCAAACTGTTCGCTAGTTAAATTATCCAAGTTTTTGGCTTTTAGTGGATTATTACCACAATTAATTTTCTGTAAGTGGGAAAAAGTGGTTAGTGAGTGGACTAAAATCTAATTCTTTAATTTGATTGCCAAAGAATATGAAAAAACTGCTCTATTTGTGAGAGCATCCGATAACGTGCCAGTGGCACAAAGAGAAATTACAGAACAAATAAAACAAATGGACTTAAAAGCCCAAGTGGAAGTGCCACCTAAGGTTTAAAAGAGAACCAAGATAATTGAGATTATTTTCGCAAGGTTCGAGTGGGCCTTACGGATAATGATTATTTCTGACTTTATCTAAATAACTCATGAAGTTATAATTAAACAATTAACCAGTAAAATTAAACTACTGTAACAACAAAAAGCCACTTACCAAACTAGATATAATAGTTCCATTGAATTTATTAAAGAAATTAGAACTGAAGTCGGAAAATGTAGAAGTAAAAAAATATTAGGAATTTCGAAAGAAAATTTTGATAAAAAGAGAATCTATTAAACATTAATAAAAATTAGGCAGTTTCTCCACCTCCCTAATAATTGAGGCTAAACGCTTGAATTATTAACTTTCTTTCTAGGAAAATTCGTCGAAACAACTTCACTTTTCCTAGAAAACTGATAATTTTTTTTTGTTCCTGTCTTCCAATCCTCTCTTTTTTTGCTCGGTCAATAATTTAGCAAATTCTGTTTCGGGAAAATTATATTTCTTATTTTCCAAATAGGAACGAATTAATTCTAAGGGAATTCCCTTGGTATCATAGTAAAAAAATATATCTCGGGCGGTAATTTTCGGTGAATAATAATTATCTAATTCTTGGGTTGATTTATTAATAAAGTCCATGGTCTTATTTATCTCTTTGGTTAGTTCGCTAATTATTAATTCTTTTTTTTGGCTTAAATACGTGCAATAAGAGGAATTAACTTCAATCAGTTTTTCACTAATTTTTTCTAATTGCTTACTATTTAGACCCAATAAATAACCTAATAAAGTGGCTTTTTTCACTAATTTTTTGAGAATATAACCGCGGCCTTTCGGTTCAAAGACCGCTCCATCCGCCAAAGCAAAAATAGTGGTTCGCAAATGGTCGGCGATAATATAATAATTTCCTTTTGGTTCGTTAGTATTAATCATTCTTTTCTGATAATAACTTTCTATCAATTGAATAACTGGCTCTCAGTAATCAATCTCAAAAGTATTTTTTTTGCCTTGGAGAACCATGGTAATTCGTTCTAATCCCGCCCCAGTATCCACGCATTTTTTGGCTAAGGGCAAGTAATCAGTTCCTTTATGGTAAAATTCGGGAAAGACAATATTACAAATCTCAATAAATCTTTTGTTATCCAAGTCCTCAATTTTTTTCGGCAGTCCTTTTTCGCTGTGGAAATCAAAATATATCTCGGTATTAGGCCCGCAGGGACCATCGCCCATGTCTCAAAAGTTAGTTTTTTTGCTACCAAAAAGGATATGGCTTTCTTTTACTCCTTGCTTTTTTCAAACTTCCAAAGTAATTTTATCATTCTCTCACACCGTAATAAAAAGATTTTGTGGGTTCATATTTAACCAGTTGGGCGAAGTAAATCATTCTCAAATAATCGGAATAACTTCCTCTTTAAAATTGCTACCAATGGAAAAATCACCCAGCATTTCAAAAAGAGTTTGGTGATAAGATTGGGCGTTAATATTAGCCAAGTCGTCCGTACGGATTACTCGTTGGCAGTTTACTAAATTACGAGCCGGAGCCAAAGAGGGATTATTAAAATATTTTTTTAAAGTAGCCACACCCGAATTAATTCATAACAAAGAATTGTCGTTTTGTGGAACCAAGGAAACCGGTTCTAACAAATAATAACCTTTTTGTTGAAAAATATCCAGTCAACTTTGTCGGATATAATTAGTAGTAAATTTGGTTGGGTATTTCATTATTATAATTTTAAATTATTTATTCTCAATTAGCCATTCTTTAATTATTCTAATTCCCGTCACCACTTTCATAATTCTTCATAGTGCGGTGAATTTTTTATCATGTTTTCTATTCGGACAATAAAATCATCGTGAAGTGGTCCGTGACCGCCATCGTCAAGACCAACTAATTTACCATCCAGTATTAAAGTGCTTATTACTGCATGGGCTAATTCATGAGCCATAGTTTCAATTAGCGATTCTCAACCAATGTTAAGGGTATAAGTTTTTCCATCTTTTTCAATAATTCAGGCGTCATAATGATTAAAAAGCAATTCCGGTTTTAATTTAATAGTTATTCAACGATAAGTTGAATCACAAATGGTAGATTTATCTTCACGACTAATTTCTTTCCCGTCTAAGGTAGTTATCGAATATCCACCTTTTATCATTGAAGTGCCTTTTTGGGGTCTTGATTGGTCTCCTTCTTCGTGTGAACTAGTAATGCATACGCCCATTAAAGTTTCGCTTCCTCCTTCTCCTTGTTCGTTTTCTCCCAGTCAGCCAGCAAAACTTTTTCAATAAATTCCGGCATCACTTATTTGCGGGAAAATTTCTTGGCACTGTTTGATATCACTATCAGTAGGGTTGGTAATAACCCGACCTAATATTTTTTGGGGTCTAATCGGTTCTATTTTTCACTCTTTTTCCGATTCATGGAGTCCTTCACGGAGAAATTGCTGATAAAAAGTATCTAAAAGATTATTTATTTTTCTCTTTATCTCTTCATTAGCAAGTAATTTGGGTAACACTTCCTTTCTTCACTGATTTTGTTCTTGAATTCGACCGCTAATTTCCTCTGAATTTAGTGATTCTTCTTTTTCTTTCTTTTCCTGAGGCGTTTTTTCTGGCAGTGATAAACGTTGCGAACCTTTTCTTCTTCGGGGACTGTTTGGTGAAGGTTGATGATATTTATACCAAATTCCTAATATAACCAAGGCACTAAGAGAAATAATAAAGAAAATTAGAAGGTAATGTTTTTTTTTTTTTTTTTTTTGCATTTTGACTTGACTAACACTTGATAGGTTCTGTAATTATATTTTTGTATAGTTTAAGTAATTTTTTTCTCTATCTCATAATCCCGAAGTTTTTGAACTAATTCGGCTAAATCGCCTTCGATAATAAAATTAAGTTTATTCCAACTAACTCCTAAGCGATGGTCGGTGACCCGATTTTGCGGATAATTATAAGTACGGATTTTTTCTGAGCGTTCAGCGGTGCCAATCATGGTAGAGCGTAAATTTCCCGTTTTTTTTTGCTGGTCCGATTGTAATTTTTCTAATAAACGGCTTTTCAAAATAAACAAGGCTTTTTCTTTGTTATCATGTTGACTACGACCATCTTGGGAAGTGGCAACAATACCAGTTGATATATGAGTAATTCGCACCGCTGAGTCAGTCGTATTAACATGCTGTCCGCCGGCTCCACTGGACCGATAAGTATCAATTCGTAAATCTTGGGGACGAATATCAAGGGCAATATCCTGAACTTCGGGTAAAACTACGACACTAGCGGTTGAGGTATGTATTCTGCCTCGGCTTTCGGTTTGGGGAACTCTTTGAACCCGATGAACCCCTGCTTCATTTTTTAACCAGTTATATACTTCGTTCCCTTTCACTAAAAAAGAAACAAGAGTGAAATTTCCCTCATTATCTACTTTACTTTCCACCATTTCAACTTTCCATTTTCAACTTTCCGCAAATTTGTAATACATGCGATAAAGGTCGCGGGCAAATAAGCCCGCTTCGGTTCCGCCCGTACCCGGACGGATTTCCATAACGATATTTTGCTTAACTCCTTCTTCCGCGATTATTTGCTCTTTAATTTTGGTGATTAGTTGATTTTTTTGCTCTGCTAAACTGTTAATTTCTTCCCGAAGTAAAGTTTGTTCCTCGGGGCTGACTGCTTGAACTAATTCTTGATAATCCTGTTGCTCTTTATCCAATTCATCATACTCTCTTTTACTAACCAATAAGAGGTTTTTTTTTTTATTACTTAGAGGGGGAGAAACTTCATTTTTTTCTAATTTTTTTAGATAGTCAATAATTTTCTCGGCTAACTCGCTATTCATGAAAACTTTGGAAAATAATTTTAGTGCGTAAGTCTTTTACTAAATAACCTTTTTCGTCAAAAAATACTCTTTCTTTTGCTAATTTGTTTTTTTTAACTGATATTTTTTCTCCTTCACCTCATTCTCCGTAAAATCCACCAATAAAATAGTTAGAAGCGATAACCCGATGACAAGGAACTAATTCTGATAAATACGGGTTATTTTTAAGAACCTGTCCGACGGCTCGTGGCGAAGTGTTAAGAAACTGGGCGATGTGCTTGTAAGTTGAGACATAACCGACCGGTATTTGCGAACACAAATTATAAACTTGCTGCGAAAAATTATTAGTTATTGGTTTTGGCATTTTATTTAACCTAATTTTAAAAAGTTTTTATTAATTTTCCTAATCCTCGGCCTAAAAATTTTGGTAAATAGAATAGTTAACTAATTACAAAAATTAAGAATTGGCAGGAACGAGAATAATTTTCTCGGTCGTATCAATAAACTTTTCAAAATAATTATATTTATTGTTAAATTTAGTTGGTTCAGCCAAGCCAGTAATTAAATAAAATCGTTCCTTTTTAGTTTTGTCTAAATGATTACCAATATTAGTTAAAACCGGGTGATTTATGGCAATATAAAGATGAAGGTCTTTCCCGTTTCTTTTTCCTAAAAACTCCTTAAATTCGAACGTTTTGCCTTTTCGTTTAATTGAACCGCCTGAGGAATAGTAAAATAATTGCGGATTATTGTTTAATCTATCATTCTTTTCTCGTTTTTCTTGTTCGATTTCTGCTTCCTTTAATTTATTCAATTGGCGAACTAAACTAATTATTTCCGCTCAATCTTCGGGTTCTAAGTCATTAGGAGTAATTTCTTGCTCTTGCCCTGGTTGAGAAATTTTATTTAACTCTCGCCTTACCTTGTCATTACCCGAAGTTATATAAATGATACTGCTAGGAAGTTCCCAATAACTTTGATAAAGATTTTTCTTATTAACACTGCTTAAGATAGATTTTAAATCCTCTTTGATTACCTTAGCCAGAATTTTTTGGTCGGAGTTGTTATTAGGTTGATTTGGTGGATTGTTTGGGTTAGGTAAAGGTAAATCATTATTAGGTTTTGGCTGATTTGGGTTAGGTTGCGGCAGAGAATTTTTGCTTTTGGGTGAACTATTTTTCCTAATTACAAAGGCTCCACCAATTAATAAACTAACTATAATTAGACCACTAATTATTAGAAATAGTTTTTTTTTTTTTTTTTTGATAAGCCATGGTTATTTAGCAATTTTTTTACTTTTGACTTTTCGCTCAAAACCGAACGCAATAAGAAGATACCATTATAAATAAGTCCTCGATAAATTAGTAAAACTGAGCTCAATATATTACTATACTTACACTTGTTTCCTATCAACCTCCTAGTCTAGAAGGTATCTTACTCCTTACGGATGGGAAATCTTATCTGGAAGTTAGCTTCGCACTTAGATGCTTTCAGTGCTTATCTATTCCCGACATAGCTATCCAGCCGTGCCATTGACATGACAACTGGTACACCATTGGTCAGTCCACTCTGGTCCTTGCGTACTAAGAGCAGTTCTTCGCAAATTTCCTACGCCCACAACAGATAGGGACCAAACTGTCTCACGACGTTCTAAACCCAGCTCACGTACCGCTTTAATGGGCGAACAGCCCAACCCTTGGAAGGTTCTGCCCCTCCAGGATGCGATGAGCCGACATCGAGGTGCCAAACACTTCCGTCGATGTGGTCTCTTGGGAAGCATTAGCCTGTTATCCCCGGGGTAGCTTTTGTCCGTTTAGCGACGGCCCTACCACTAGGTAACCGCCGGATCATTAAGTCCTACTTTCGTATCTGTTCGACTTGTCTGTCTCACAGTTAAGCATCCTTGTGCCTTTACACTCAACATAGGATTTCTATACCTATTGAGGATACCTTATGAACACCTCCGTTACTCTTTAGGAGGCGACCGCCCCAGTCAAACTACCCACCAGACACTGTCCTTTTGGCTGTAAACCAAGAAGTTAGAATTTTCCGCTTATTAGAGTGGTATCCCACCAATGACTCCTCCCAAGCTAGTGCTTGGGATTCACAGTCTCCCACCTATCCTGTACAAATAAGAGAAAAACCCAATATCAAGCTGTAGTAAAGCTCCACGGGGTCTATCCGTCTAGTTGCGGGTAACCGGCATCTTCACCGGTACTAAGATTTCACCGAGTCTATAGTTGAGACAGTGCACGAATCGTTACGCCTTTCATGCGGGTCAGAACTTACCTGACAAGGAATTTCGCTACCTTTGGACCGTTCATTTTTTAAATTTATGTTAACATTCAATGGAAATAATCTATCAAATGTGACTAAACCTAGTCTCTTTATATCGCTATAAAGTTCGGACTATATCATCAGAATTATTATCTATTTCTGTTTGGCGTATAGTCTCTGGGGATTTTTCCAATTTTTTCCAAATAAACGTGCTTGAATATTTGTGTTTGCCACCATTATTCATTTGCTCTCGTAATTCGAGAACCTTCTTTATTCCTTCCTTAGTTAAATGGTCTTTTCTTGCTATCAGTTCGGCAATTTGCCGAAACTTAGCAAAGTCATTTTTTTTCTTGGCTGAGAGAAAACCATATTTTCGAAAAAAAGGAATTATGTTTTGAACAATGGCAGTGAAATTATTAACTTCGTAATATCAAATTCCATCCGTTCGACTCCGTAAACTTCCACATTGCAGATGTTTTTTAAATAATGCTAAGATAACTTTGTCCTTTTGTGAAACATTAAAACAAAGTGATATTTTTCAAAGCAATTTATAATCATCTTGCGGACGAAAGGAAACATGGAAACTTCCTTCGCCATCGGTAAAACCAGCTAGGTAATAACCAATTTGTGGAGTTATTTTGGAAAAGTTAATTTTATTCATTTTTGGAAATCTTTCCTGCTGATTGTCCGCACCTAAGAGATTGTCACTTTTCTACAAAGTACTCTTAGGATACTCGGGTTTTCCAGCATATAGCCAAATTTTATTAACGAAACTACAACGGTTATTATAGTTACGGCCGCCGTTCACTCGGGCTTCAATTCAGAGCTTCACTAACAATTACTTGCTAGTTAACCCCTCCTCTTAACCTTGGAGCACTGGGCAGGCGTCGCCCCCTATACATCCTCTTACGAGTTAGCAGAGAGCTGTGTTTTTGATAAACAGTCGTTCGTGCCTCTTCACTGCGGCCTAGGTTGCCCTAGGCACCCCTTCTCGCGAACTTACGGGGTTAATTTGCCGAGTTCCTTAACTATAGTTTTCTCGCTGGCCTAAGGATATTCTCCTCGACCACGTGTGTTCGTTCTCGGTACGAGTATCATAATCATTTGGGGGCAAAACCCCCTCTTTAGAAGTTTTTCTAGGAAGCAAAGCGTTCAGATAATTCGGGTTGCCCCTACCCATCATATTTCAAGGTTATGCGTTGCGGATTTGCCTACAACACCCTCTTTATACTTAGACTAGAATCAATAACTAGTTTATCTTAGCTGACTCCGTCACTCCATCAGTAATTACGATAGT